ACGCTTCGCACGGGAGCGCAATTTTCTTCAAAATGTTGAAGATGCTCCGCACGGGAGCTCGATTTTCTTCAAAACAAGACGACCTTGAGCGGAGCATTTTGGTATAGAATTGGTATAGGATCCATCCCGTAAACGATCAAATTTTGAACGACGATGCCGACGAATCCTATACCAATCCTATACCGGAAAGCTCCGCCAAGTACCTCCCTCTGGAGCCTGGAAAGCCACCTCGAACGACGATCGTTTGGTATAGGATTGGTATAGAAACCCTCAACATCATCGTTCATAAAAGGTTGAAATTTTCCAAATGCTCCGCACGGGAGCGTCATTTTGATCGAATTTGATGAAAATAAATCGACGAAATTTCGAGGACGTCTCGAGCGAGAGCGCGATTTTTGAAGATAAATGATCAATTTTTTCGAATGCTCCGCACGGGAGCGCCATTTGGATCGATTTTGATGAAGATAAATCGACGAAATTTCGAGGATGTCTCGAGCGAGAGCGCGATTTTTGAAGATCCGAAGATGATCGAAACTTCAAAAAATCGAATTGTCTCGTGCGGGAGCGCAAATTTTGAATGTTTATAAAGTCCGAAAAATGTAAAATTTTGAGGATGTCCCGCACGGGAGCGCAATTTTCAAAAATCAGCGGCGCGACCGGTTTGGCAACGGATCCCTCTACCAAGAGCAATTCTAAGGCGAGGCCTTGTATTTCTTGATCGAAAATCGATAAAATACACCGATTTTTTGAGGATGTCTCGAGCGAGAGCGCGATTCCTAAGCGAACAAGAGCGCGCCCCAAATGTTTGCGCGACGGAAGAGAACACGGATGTCGGCGGGCGACGGTGCATCTAAACAATTAGAACCCCAGTGAATATGGGAAAAAGATAACAGAAGGACTAGTAAGAAATCAAAAACGCTCCACGCAAGAGCTCAATTCACCCGAACCTCTCCCCAAAAAATCCTTGCTTAGTTCTTTCTTGATCCCTGTTCATCTTTTGATCGTTGTTATCCTTATTGATTTTTTTTCATTGCTATCCCCTGTGACAGTGTGCATGGCTGCCTGCAGCCATGTTTCCGATGCTGCTTGCACGACAGACACCTTCCTCTTGCAGCAGAAGCAAGGGCTGCATGAGCTCATCTCTTCGCTCTGATCATTCGTACTGTAATCGAAGCATCCCTCCGTCCCAACAGAGGCGCACCACGCCCCGTCTTGACCATCCTGGTACGAATGGCACTGCCACTCAGGATTTTCTTCTGGCTCACATTGAGGTGCGGCAGCAGTGCAGAGGGGACTCAGCCACAGGTTCACTGCAAATTCAGCTCCTGATGCTATGCTCTCGTGTTCCGTCCACAAGCTCCGATTCACCATCCATTCCCGACATGGTTCCGTGCCGGATTTTGTTGGCACAATATCAAAGGTCAAATGGCGCACATCAAACGTTGGAACGTTGTAGAGAAGCTCTCGAACGGGATGGGCACCATAAGATTTTGACCAATCATTCGTCGGAGTGAATCGAGCACGTACAAACTTGTCAATAGTGATGTTCGAAGCCCATGTGTATGCATCCACTAGCATCATCCGACCTTCGTCGTCACCACCCCAGTTGTTTAGATCGCCTCTGAGGAACATTTGATTGTGCCAGCTCGCATGGCAGTGCCTGCCTGTCCGAGCAAGGCAGTCACCAACGACGAAGCTAGCACTGAGCTGGGAATAGTATTGAACAAGCACGGGCACATCGAGCTGAGCCTCCCAATTGGTGATTGATGCATACGGCTTCCACGCTGACCAGTTGCCGCCAACATTCTGAGCCCGGAACCATGTGGCCCCTTCTGCGTTGTGACACAGCTGCCTGCCGAAGCTGCAAATAAGACCCGACTGTTCCTGGATTGGATTTGCAATGACACCGCTCTGCCGGTCAAGCAGGAAAAAGGATCTGAAGGCAGCATGGATCTGCAAACCATCTGCCGCGGCGACACCCGCGGGGACTTCAAGAGTATGATAGCCGTTCTCCAGGGATGCGGCGACAACTTGGCGAGTGCAGGTGTCTCCGGTGCAAACGAAGCCTCCAGAAACCTGGTCAAAAAGCAGACTAGATGCCATTGAGGCATCCACGTCACGATCGAATCTCACGGTAATGGTCAAGTTGTTCTCAATGTCTGCTGGAATTGTCGAGCCGTGCTTGGGCGAGACCTCAACAACTGAAGGAGGAACGCTGGCCACCTCTTCAACAAATGTCAGGGCCTCCAAAGGACCAAGCGTGACAGCGACACTTCCCGAAGAAACAACAACACGTCTTGGGTTATTGTGGCTCACAAGGCAATCCACCAGCTCAGTACCATCTGCCCATGGGAGCGAGTCAATGGATGCCGACCGGTTCTGCGATGTGTGAAAATTGGCGAATTGCAGCACCTTATGAGTTGCATTGCAACCGCGGACATATACAAGTACATCAGGCGTTGCGTAGGAAGGGTGCTGAAGCTGATCACATTCCTCAGCTCCAAAGAAACCGAAGTACGCCCTGCGCAAGGCATTGAGCCGAGCGATGTACAAATAAGTCGGGTGGGTCATGTCAAAGTTGTCTCCGTCCGCTGGGTTGCCATCTGCTCTGGTTCGAACTGCTCGCCAAGCCAGGGATGTGCTGAGCTCTTCCCGCGCCCATCCGTCCAATGCACTGCCAGGAGTATCAAAGTCTTGCTCATCACCAGCGTAATGAAGCGGCACCCCAGGCCAGAACGTAATGACTGCCAGACACATGGTAAAGTGCGCCTTACCAGTCATACTTTGCAGCCGCCAGTTGTCATGATTGTTACAGAATGTCCACATAGCATACTCATGGCGGTGAGTGTCCGGGTCATATGTGTCAACCATCTTGTTCTCCTCGACATAGGCGAGGGGCAAACCATCCGCATACTCTGGGCGCTGGTACACCATGGCAGTGAAGACGTACCAGTAGTATGGGTAGACAATACCGCCCTTGAGGGTGGCAATGTCGTCGATGAACCGCTCCTGGTTGTACATCGTGTTGTCTCGGCCTCGACCAGTCATGGTTGCGTATCGTTCAGCGCTAACAAAGAACTCACCAAAGATGCCGAAGCGCTCTTTCCCCAGTGTCTTGGCATGAGCTCTCATAGCAGGTGCCCAAACTTTGTAGAAGTTTAGTGGTACCTGCATTGGAGTGTCCACACGGTAGCCATCCACATCCGTACTCTCAATTAAAGCCTTGGTCATTGCTATGTATTTCTGCTGGACCATGTCTTGCTCTAAACGAAGATCGTCCATTACTCCATAGATTTTGCCCAGGTTGATCTCCCAAGGGTCATGGTAGTCAATCAAATCTCCGTTGTGATGAAAGTCTGATTCTATGTAGGTCCCAAAGCCGGTGTCTGACGCCGACTCACCCCATTGACCATACAAAGTTCCATTGTAGGTCGCATTGGCGTGCCATAAGTTGCTGTACCAGAAATCTGAATAAGGCTGTCGCCCTGCAGGTGTGTCGTACAAGCCATCCTGGTCTCTCTCGGCCTTTGTGCGCCTGCGAAAAATTTTGGAAGCATCACCATCACCAAAAGGCGTTTGGTCAGCCACCAGGCAGGTGGCGAAGCCAGCACAGTGGAAGCGTGTGTTTGCGGCAGGGTCATCCTTCCAGAGGTAGAACTGACAGGATGGATCCGAAGCACAAGCCGCTTCACAAGCATCCTGGCTAGCAAGCAGCCCGGATGCCTCGCCTCCAAATTGTTGCCACAAGCTAGCCCCTCCACACCAAACATCAGCTGCTTCTTGGACGGCCTTCACTGGCCAAACCCACTTTTTGTAGACGTTTGCCTGACCATCGGTGTAAGGAGTGGGGGAGCTGCAGGACTTGAAGCCTGCACAGTGGTAGGTACTCAACGATCCAAGGTCGTCCTTGTACAAGAAATAGAAGCAATCAGGATCTGCATTGCATCTATCCTCACAAGCATCCATGTTCACAAGGATGCCGGTAGGCTCGTTTCCCCAGGATTGCCAAAGGGCGTTCCCGTCACACCAAATGGAGCTCTGGAAATATGAAGCCTGCCGAAATCAGATAGATTTGCTTTGCCATGCCATGGTGACATTTCAACAAGACCTGGCAATGCCTGGGTAGCTCGTGGCTTCAGCTTGTACTCGCGCTTTCCACCGTCCTCGTGGAACCGCCACGTGGCTTGGCTTCGTGCATGGCCCTCGAAGTAGTATTCGTTCGCCTCAGTTTGCAGAAGTCTGTCCTCACATGTCTGTGGAAGGCTTTGAGCAGCTGTAGCTCTTGCCAGTGCGCGTTCCCTACTCTGAAACACAAGGCTACTCACAGTGATCAGTGTCAACGCATCTGCAGATTTCAGCATTGTGCAGGACAGAGTGAAAACCATCAGCGACCCGATAGTCAGCAGAGTTGCCATATGGTTCATTACCTTGGATTCACACGGTCAACCTTAAATACACGAAGCGAAATTTGGCAGTGGTCGTAATTGCTGTTCCAAGGAGCAACGTCTATGATGACATACATGTCAAGGGCATGCGCCTCCCGAATGAGATCACGGAGCTCTTCAAGGGTTCCCAATCGGCGGTCCAGAACAGTGAAATCGACTTGGGCATACTGATGGTAGAAGTTGTAGCCATTCCTCAAAGGTGAACGTCTGGTGATGTGTCTAGCAAAATCTCCATAAATTGGCGCAGCCTCTCCTGTTTTTGCACACAGATCACGCGGCTGACCTTGGTACCTCTTCACAAACGTGGACAGGCGCCTGATCTAGTTTCTGATTTTCATGCTGCTGGCCGACAAACAGAGGGGGTTTGTTCGCATGAGTTAATCTGCTGCTTCCTACGCTGAAGCTAATCCCCTTGACGGATCCACACACGGCCAGCTTTCCAATCTCCCTATTTGCACCAATGTTTTTCAGCACCACGACTCAGCCGCCCCGCCTTGAACATCCTTCAGCATTGCTACTGAAACCACATCCAACTGCAAAGGCAAAACATGATGCTATTCGTGCCATGACCATGCAAAGAAAATAGGCACTGCAGGAGGACGGAAACTTGATGCAACCACAAGCATGATCACGCGGCGGTAGTGAATGTCGTGTTCCCTGTTAAATCCTCGATTTCAACCCGCCCCCCCTCCAACCCCTCAATCATTAGAGATTTCAGTGAATGGAAGAGCCAGTAGCTCGCTGCTTTCCAAGCCTTGTCTCCCTACAGTGACGGCTAAACGCAACTCAAGCCTGGCTCCGCTTTGGTGACCATGTTACGGGGAAAAATCCTACTTGTAGCGGCGAGGAATCTGCTTGTATTGGGAGTTAGCGCAGTTGTTTGTTAGCAAGGGCTGACCCTTGAGACCAAAGGTTCCACACCAGGGGGCATGCTGCTGTGGGCATATAGCAATGCAAGTTGGCGTTTTGCCAGTCTGCACGTGCTGCCGTGATGGACACCAAAAATGCAAACCCCACTTGCAGAAACCACGCGAGAGGACTTCAACCATGACTGGTTCTAGGACGACTCCTGTTTGGGTCAGGCAGGGAAGACGGTGGCAGGGGATGCGGAATCTTTGGCAGTCCGCTCCAGTGATCTGAAGATTGCTTGAACGGACCCTGTGGCTTGCAATGCCAGGGGTCTGGAAGACTGGAGAGATCCACAGACCGTTGCATCCAAGCCCTTTGATGTAATGGAGCTTCTGCGTCAATCCCGCAAAGTCACCACCATGTCGAAAGGTGAAGTCCTTGCGAGAATTTGCGAGACATCGCACGACACCTGGATGTTTGTCCCAAGAGCCATGCATATTGCAATGCAAAGTGGCGCGCACATCGAACCCGTCAGCAAAGAGCTCATTGTTGTGCGGGTCGCCGTCTGCAAAGCGATCAGTAAGCAGCCTGCATTCACCCAGCTTGCTTCATGTCAGGAGTATCCACAGGCATGAAAAATGCGCCAGGCTGCTGGTAGATCACTAGGCTGCGCCAGTCTGGAGGGGATGGATTGTAGGTGTGATTTGGCCATTGCCCCCAGTAGCGTTCCGGCTCATGGCTTGCGTGGAAGTTGATGTTCCATGCCGCATTCTCCTTTTGCGCCAGGATTAGCTACGATGTGAACACTTGCAGGGTCAACCAACAAAGCAATGTCCTCTGTCCACGGCTCGCTTCGTGCCAAAGGCAGCCAAAGCAGCAGAGAAATGAAGGGAACCATGGACGCCTGGCGGGCGTGCCAAGCAGGCCTGCTCTGGGCCTACACCAAGAAGAGCAGCTGCATGAACTCTGCTGGCTATGCTATGATGAGGCAAGGCCTGGCCAAATCTCCAAACCATCGCAATCAACTAATGCTTTGAGCCCACCACACCAGCCGCAGGAACAACGAGGACTTTTGTTGCAGCGTAGACATGCATAAACGGCTTGCTTGCGAATGCTCGGTTCCCTCCAGGGAGACCCCTGGCCAAGGCAAACCCAACAGAAGCCCGAACTGACGTTAGCATCTCGAGGAGTTTCCCCTTGTTGCTGGCTGAACATTAATTTGCGGTGGGTTGATTCAAATTTTGCACGTGCTCAACCAGCTCACTGAACGAGTAAAAACGCCGAGAAGACGAACAAAACTCGGATGAAATCTCTGCGCATCTTGTTCACAGAAGCTAAAGAAGCTGAGCCTAGCACGATGCATATGCACGTGGACCATGGCTGGTAGGCTCTGGTACTACCTAGCCTATGCAGGCTTTGAGCAGTGCAGGAGGTCCGCCATAAAGAGCAGCGTAGATTCATCTCGAACACAAATGCAACATGAAACCGCTACAGCGAGCTGCAGCACCTCATGCGCATGTCACCGGTAGGATCGCTCCACCAGACGTGGCACCTTGGCAACAGCAAGTTGCCAATCATGCACGGCGGGTTAGACTGACTACGAGCACGAATCTCAACGAGCATACGTGGATACGATGGCTGTCTTTTTACGACCGTGCCAGCAGCAGGCCCTCCTACGGGCACCGGCAAGGGTCAGAACCTGAGTCAGGTCGAAGTCGTCTTTCTGGGCTCGAGAAGGGCGATGCAAGTAAGGTCCCTGCGTGCCACAGCCTGGCGGAGCGGACGCTTACGGGACTCGGAAGAGGCTCCAAACACCTCACGCTTGCCTTTGTGGCCTTCTGCAGGAAGCCTGTAAGGGCATCTCATGGCTTGTATTACGCAAGAAGCAGAAATCTTGTCTGCAAGCAACCACTACTTCAAAAGCCTGCAGCGGGTGCTGGTGCAAGGGCAGCCGGACCAGGTGCGGGTGCCGGCGGCATTGGCCAACCTGATAAACGCAGCAACCTCTCACCAAATCGTGAAGCGCTCAGGTCACGTGCTGGGGAGTCAGCTTGACAGCGTGTGCCTGACAGCCTGTGCAGTAGTCGGAAATCCAGAGCACTACCTGTGAAAAGATCCCTTGTTCCACTGGGCATGCTGCATCTGCATTCACCTGTGCGGGCACCACGGGTACGGGCAGGAACCTGCTCCGCAAAGTTTGCAAGCATCACAAAACATGCCTGTTGATTGGTGACCTTTGTTGCAAAGTGAGTCCAAAGCCGGCTGATTCATTCGCTTCGGAAGCTATGGTGCTACTCCGTCGCTCACGCTTGCTCTCCCTTTGTACCGTACAGGTTTCTGCTTTGCCTTCTTTCTCTTGGTCTCATCTAACTGCTGGGTGTTACGCATTTTGCAATCAACGCTGTCTCATTACATTAGTGCCTGCAAGATTGGGCACGGAGGGATGCTTTTCTCTGATTTTCGTGAAGCGTGACTTCTCGCCAGCATAATCCGAGCTCCTGCCTAACAAAACCTTTGAACATTATAGAACGAAAGAAAGAGCAGTCCAGGAAAATGCAAGGTTTCGGTTTAAGGCATAATTCGATCTTCAGATTCTAAAGCCTCAAGCTCAAATCTTGTGTAGGATCATCATTTATCATTCTACGGATTTGGTCGATGTTCATTACTTGTTTATGCGGGGTGCCTTTACCAATGCGAAGCTCGGATTACGGCACATGCCTGCGACATCCTCTTCCAACAAGTCTCCATGGCGGCAAAGAGGGCCTGCTAAGCCTAAAGCGTGAGATGCCTGCGTCGGATTTGTGAAGCCTTGTTTCCTCCTCGATTTGGGCTCAAAGACGTGTCAAAACGTGCTCTGTACCCTTGCCTTGGCATAAGGTCATTCGCGGTTGGTGTTGCCTCACAAGAAGCCATTGCCCTGGGAAGCTGTAAAATCGAATAGCTTCCAAGGCCAGAGCTGGAGCAACGGCAGAAGGATACGCCATGGGCAACCTTTTTCAAGTCCAAGGTGCCTGGTCCTTGCTTACAAGAGCCAACCAACTGAGCCAGCTGCGTCGTGACCGTGCTGTTCACCATGGCGGCTACACTGGGAGGCACCGTGTACCAGGATTTCATGTTTTCACCTTCCGAAACGATCAGCCAGTGATGAAAACAAGCTGGTCACAAACATGATGCACATCAGTGTGAGGCAACGGCAACCCCTAGCCATTGCAAAACATGCAGACTCAAGCAAAGAATGCTTTGGAGGCCTGAAGACATGGGTCGGGTTCTCGAACCAGCACGAGTGGGGAGGCTTAGGGCAGGGGAGAAGGGAAGCCTGGAAAGATTGCACGCCAAATTGGCATAGCAGACTCATCAGTCATGAGGAGGGTTGATGCCTCAACAAGTTGAACATAGGAACGGACCTTGTTTTGGCACATGAAATAATTACAAAATGTTGCTTCTATTTAGGCCCCAGGGTGCCCAAAGTTCCTGATGAGACGGACAGTGACAGGTGGAAGCGCGATACCAAAAAACATTGAGAGAGGGGTCACCTGCCAGGAAGGAGGCCTTAGAGCGCGCGGGCTCAGAGCAACATGGGGCAATTCCAAAGAGCTTGCATGTGACCGTAAGCCGCCTTCCATGCTCTGCAGAGGGATATCCTGTCAGGATTGCCCCGGCTGGATCAAGGTGCGGAGTGGAATGCAGAGCATCCTCTGGGCCCACGTTTGGCACAGGAGGAAGTGAAGGAATGGCTGGTGGAGGTGGCGGTGGGGGCGGACCTGGGCAAGGAGGCTAAAGAGTTCAGCGTTCCAAGATCCAAGTACTAGTCCAAACCGTGTGAGCCGGGCTTCACCTGTGGGGCCCAAGCCAGAAGCTGGCAACGGCACAGCTGGCGGCACCTGGCGACCGTGGAAGACCAGTTCAGTCGCCCTCTATCCCCAGCCCTAACTTGCCCAATGAATTTGCAACCTCGATGTCAGGCATTTTCGGGGGAGTGAAGCCAGGCGCCTGCACGATTTCTACAAAGCCAACCGCCCTCCGGCGCGCATTCGGAAAGTTGACGGAGCCTGCTTCGCTAGTTGGGTGAGAGCCCCTCCGGCCTGCAGGCATGATCAAATTCGCCTGAAACCATTTGAGACATTGCAGAATTGCTGCATGCAGGCTGACCTCCTTGATGTTCGAGTAAACTGCATTCCTCCCACTGGCTGGTTGAGAAAGATTCTGACTGCGTATGCCGAACTGCAAGCAAGCCACTGTGCGCACGGGCACTCGGGCGAATCTGCACTAAGCAGCTTCGTTGCCTGGTGCAGATCATAGACATGTGCTACCCTGGTGCAGCAGGGACGCGCAAGCACTAACCACATCTACCAGCTATTTGGCGAGCAACGTCCCGACATGCCTCCCTGACACAACCTGTTTTCCTCGGCGCGTCGCGTCATGTAGCGCACTGACTCAGGCTCACAAAGCCACCCATCTCCAGCTGCTTGCTCTGTGCGTCACCTCACTTGCTGCGAATAGCATGCAGCATTAGTAGCCAACTGCAGGTGTCCCACGGGATGTGGCGGCGACCTGCGCGTCACTGGAGACCTGCATCTGCATCGTGATTCCCAAGCTTGTGATTTGCGGCGCGTTCAAATCACAAGTTTGTTGTGTACCGGCTGCCAGCAAGGGCACGCTTCTAGCCTTGTTGTCAGACTGCACAGGTCCAAGAAATGGTTTGAGAAGAAGTCGACAAGCATCCTGCGCCAGGTGTCTACGCTGCACTCGCTGATACAGGTACGAACTGCTGTTGCCTGAGTCACATCTTTCCATAGATTTGCACTCACCAGCTCCTCTCAATCTGCAACAAGACTGGCTGCGGCTGCCACAAATGGTTCAAACTACTAAAACCGCCTGAGAAGCACGTTCCTCTGCAAATGGCTGCTCATCGGGCATGGGGTACATGTCCAGAAGCCTTGCTGACATAGGCGGAAGCGATATGCACTTTTGCTCTCCAGAATCGAGGCCATGGCCACGGTTTTGCAGATTGATCTATCGCTGCATCAACCATGAAGATGTTGTACAGCAGCTTGCCTTGGGCTGAACTTCACATGTTTAAACGAATCCTTCAAAGGACAAAACTACGGACTGGCGCCTCGTGCTTCTTGGTGCTGTACCCTCAGCTGGTCGGATTCTAACGATGCATTCTGCCAGTCTCCAGCGCTTTAATGTAATTACTGTTGCAGACAAAGAGCCCCTCCTTTGCGGGCTGCGCTTTGCTCCAACCTCATGGCGGGTGTGCATGAACATCAACATGAACCCAGCGTCCCCCCACACACGCGCACAGGTCTCATGAGGCTCCTACCATTGACTGGAACAAACAAAGCACAAGAGAATAATGCAGGGATAACCCAGAGAAACTTAAGCGGACAGCCGTACTAATAACATTGAATAAACTGGGAAACCCGTCGTTCTCCTAGTGACAATGCAGGTCATCAAAGCTGAAACAAAAACGAATAGGGGCAACAGTAATCGGGGACACGAGCGTTAGGCTGAAAACAGTACCTTATCAGGACTTGCAATAGCAGCAGGAGCAGCAGCAGCATCAGTAGCACAGCAAGGTAAGAGACAACAGTAATAATGACAAGCGAGTACTGCAGCAGTAGCAGCAGCGGCAGCAGCAGCATCACAACAGAAAACTACGAGGGCACCCGTAACATCACATCTAAGCGTACACAATCACCTCAACCGCATGCGATTGAAAATCGAACTTTATCACATTGCACAGGCGGTTTCATCTCGCGCATCGAATGTCCAGGTCTGTATATTTGAAGAAGGATACCGACCAGTTTGGGTCTTGATTTCACAAGAAATTATGAAGTGCGCACAGCATTTTACCGGCATTTACAGGCGTCGTTCCCCCTTCAAACGTCAATGTCCCTCCTCTCCGCTTATCCACACTCATCAAGTCTCTGTGCTCGCACAGTTCAGCACCTCTGACCAACGCCTAGGTCATGTCCTTTTTGCTCCTAAACGAAACAGCCCCTGCTCACGAGGCTACAAACCCAACTCTACAAAAGAGGGTATGCAACTTCGTTTAGGCAAATGATAGTTTTCAGCACATCCTAATCTGAATCAGCGCACGCGCTTGGGGGCGTGCGCCGAGTACGGGACTGTTTGCAAAATATTGCTTGCAACATTACTAGGGGCTTCAGGGTTCTGACACCCAACCTTCTCTCAACGTCGACGTTTGACCGCCCATCCCCCCTCGATCAACCAAAACACCAGAAATTGCTTCGGCTGCAACAACGTCATCTCCCACCCGCCATCCCAAGCGGTCCCAGCTTCCAGGCTGAGAAAAATTCTGGAAAGGAGGCCAAAGGGTACCCTTTAAATGGAGAAATGGACCCTAATGATGCTCAAAATGCTGGCCACGGGGGCCAGCATCATCAGCATCATTGGGCTTCTTCTTCTCCCGGCTTCTAGGCTGCTCGCATACGGGGCGCGTGCGCGCGCCCGCACACCCCACGTACACAGGCATCTTCAAATGCGGAGCCTATCTTGAATGTTGCAGGGGCAACGGACAGAAATTGTTCAATACTTGCGGTGTTTGGATTTTCCCACCACAAGAGTCAAGTTCCGGTGCAAGCACAAGAAGCCTTCCATCCCTCCCTCTCTTCTTTCTCCCTTCCTTGGTTCTGCCCAAGCTTCCTTTCCCACGTTCTTCCTTTTTCTTTTCACTACCCTTTTCCGCAGCTGAATCTGCCGCCAGGACCTAACAATTAAAATGCGACAAGCATCCCTTGCAGGGGAGGGGTGGGCTCAAGAAAGGCAATCGAACACGATCCTTACTGGAAGCACTGTCTGCCGTCTGCTTTTGCCTTCCGTGCCACCAACGCCCTCCTTTCCCCGCCATTTCCTAGAAAAGTCCGTCAAGGTCACAGCATACATGCCGCTGTCAGCTGTTCCACTTGCATTGCTTGCATGCTTGGTCGGTGTACGCCAGCAGCGATGCTGTAGAACCCGCCCCAGCACATGCTGAAGCCGAGGCCACACCTCAACACAACCCTCAGAACCCTCCATTTGATGAGGAGTTTCTCTTCGAGGGAAAAAGGCATGCAAAATCTAGGATGCATCCCAGACACTGACGCATAATGCACCCAGCTTCGGCCACGAAGGATGGAAGGTGGTGATGCTTGGGCCCTTGAACAAGCAATGCTGGGGTACGGGCAGAGTGTCTGTTATGCTTGCGGGCGGGAGACAAGTCATCAGTTGGCGTGGTCGTAAGCAGAAGCTCCCGATGCAGGAATGACGGACCGTTCTCCAGCGCCAGAACCTGGATTCTGCATGACAAGGATTACTTTCCCGATACGACAGCAGGTGCTATGCGCTGGCAAAATGTGACCAAGAAGCAAAGGCGTGAACCTGGGCGCAGACTACGGACACGCAAACTGATGAAAACTCATGCAAAGCTTTGGTGGATACAACAAAATGGCAGACCAGTTCCCATAATACTTGCTACACTTCCACGATCTGCGACCCAGAATCTTTTACGTGTCCACCAGCAACACGCATGGGCTGCCTGATGGCTTGCTGGGCAACGAAACCTTACTGGCTTCAGCAAGTTACAGCTGCTTGCCGAGTTTTCCGGGGAATTCCAACTCCCAGAAAAGCACTCAAACCTCTATTTGCTGACAATTGCTGACATCTCATGCCGAGAAACTGCATCGCGTTGTCTTGGGCATGGCGAGCCAAAATGCCAGGAGAGAACGCGCATCCTCGCAGAGCACACGGCACTGTTCGGAGTCGACTTGAAGTCTGTCAACCAAGGCTTCTGCCTCAAAACATGTTATGCCATCAGGTTCCCCATGCGCGGCAGAATGCTTCCTGGGGCTGAAATGTGGCCGACAGCTGCTCAACTTTCAGCGACTTGATCCTATCGACGCTGGGCTGCAAGAACCAAAGAACTTCTGCAGGCTCTTCTTCAGTGGATGTCCTGATCGGTCGGCAGAAGATTTATCTTGATCGGCCCAACGTGACGGGACGGTCCTGCCTCCTTGCTACCGAATTCAGACCTGCCACCAGGCTTTTACCTCAGGACTGGTTGCTCGCAAGCTGCTGAGGACCAGTGGCAGAGACAGGGCACTCATGTCATTGGGTCTCCTGAAAGTCGTCGGGGCCAGCTCCTGCAGCACACGAAGCTCTACACCGCTTCCGCAAACACACCCAAGCAATCTCAGTCCTGCAGGCCAAGCCGGTGAACCTGCATTGCAAAAGGTCTCCTGCTACCTCGGATGCAGCCAAAACACCTTGGACATGGGCTGCACTGGCCTGCGACCTCAACTGCTATTCTGATTCCCCAAATTCCCAGGGTGCAGGGAATGACTTTGCATCATGTACAAAGCAGTGTCTCATCATTGAAGTGTCGCTTTGTGATTCATTCCTTTAAGCATCTGCAGTATTAGGGGCCGCTTGAGCAGCTGGCTTCCAGGCTCCTGATCGCTGCAACTCTGGGGGGAGAAGATGACATCACGCAAATAGCTAGTCAAGCTGAAGAGTTCGTGTCCGGGGCAACCGCTACCGTAAAGGCTTTAGATCATAGCTGGAGTGCGTGAACAGGCCACAAGTTGCATGATCCATCGAGAGCATCCCTCTCACCACATCTAAGCTGCCTAGAATTGCTGCTGAAGCTCTGATTTCCAAGCGGCGCTCCACCCTGAAATAGCTGAAGTTCACAACCGCATACGTATCAGGCACAGCAGCACAGCGACAGGGTTCCGGCAAGCATACACATTCTACAAGATGTTGCTCCAACTCTGCAGCTCCGACACACTGCAGAGTTGCTTCCGCCCCGCGGGTGACATGCGGATATTAGCGCGGTACCACCTGGCCGTCACAAGCTTAACAACATGTTGTGCATATGTTCACAAGTTAGCTGCATGTTGCTTTTGCCTTTTGCTTCCCTGTCCGAAGCACTCGCCATGCAATGCTTTGGCATTGGCTCTTGCATGTCAAGCCCAGCATTTCCCCGCCATTCTGGGTCGCAGGGATGACAAATCCAAGCTAATAACACAAAACGAGGCTGATCGCCAAAGTGGCGCACGCCATGAAAATACGTATCGTCAAACACCAGTGCTTCTCCGTCAGACCAAGACAATGTCTGATTTGCCACCCACATTTCTGGGCCAGGAGGTGTAATCAGGCCAAGGTGTACTGCAAGCCGCGGTTCAGTAGCAAAGTGCGGCTTTATCTCTGTGCCAGGGAGAAGCCGTGCAAATGCTACGCCAGCATTCGGCATGCGCTGCGAGAAGCAGCGGGAGTCTATCTCCGGGCGGGATTCGAGCAGGGCGCAGCTCTGAGGGGCATAGGCACAAGCCGCTGTGGCCCTCCCTTGCCGCACGAGATCAAGTAGGCCCCACTCACTGGGAAGTGGAGTAAACTCCGTCTGTTGTTCTTGGACTGTCCGGAAGACTTCATCAAACTCAAGATCTGCCGCTACCAAGCGGTACAGCTCTGCTCGAAAGACGTCCGCATGCTCTTCCAAGAATTTTGCGAAGGAGGGCCAGACCTCACGGGGCCAAATTGGCCAGTGCCTGGCTCGTGGTAAATGATCATCATTGTGATTAACTCTGTAAGGACCTTCCCCAAGGTAAAGGCTGCGATGTCCAAGAAAGTAAGGTAGCGATCTCATGATACTAAGCTGTGCCTGGGCTTCCTGCAGATAAATCAAGGCACCTTGCAGGTCTCTGTGAACTGCCAGCTGCTTGCTCAGCTCAACGAGAAGAAGCAGCACAAACCTCCATCGCCAAGGGCACTTATGCTGCTCAAAGGTCGCAACTGACGTAGCCGGCGAGAAACAGCCACCTTCAACCAAACTTGCTACATGAAGTTTCATGGAGAGAGTTGCCACGTCAATGTCCGGACCAAATCTGCGAAGGGAAATTTTTTGGCTGTCTGCAGGAGTCCCACCCCACCAGAAATACAAAAAAAGCATCTGGCCGATGCCAATGGCAAATTTATAGCGAGAATGATGCGACAAGGTATACTGAGCCCACTCCAGGAGTCGCTTCAACGCAGAAGCTCGCAGAACAGCATCCTCTGCAAGCCTGGCCTCCACCTTTCCCGTGTACAACTCTTTCATCCAGCCTCCCAGCAGCCCAAAGCTGAGCTCCTCCTCATTACGAGCACCACTGGTCTGATTCGTTGCCCACAAGTAGGCTGTGCATTCTGGCAGCGTCTCAATGCATGCATCAAGCTGATCGAGTTGTCCAGCCTTACCATTGAATCTAGTATGTACTATGCATCCGGTACAAAATTGAAGTCGCCAGCCAAAGCTTCTAAGCAGGACTCGCCGAAAGGCCTTTTCCCGTGACTTGGCAAGGATTGTGCGAACCCTGTGCAGACAGTTGCAACTTAGAGTTTACTAGCTTCGGTGCCAACTGGGATGCAGGAAATGGCAGGGACAGGAACTGAGAACTCTGGACCGAGGTGCCGCCACCACGAAGCACAAAGAGGTGAACTCCAGGACGAGCTGAAGCTTCGACATCTTCTCCGTCTGCCGCCAGCAAATAGCGAAGAGCGACTTCTAGGTGCGGTAGGGGAAACTGCCAAAGCCAAGCGAGTCATTGCAATAAAGGCTTCATATCTCTCACGGCTCGAGCCACGCAAAGGATAGCAAGGTGCCTACAACAAGATGGTTTCATACCTCAACGTTCCTGTAGGCAGGTGCTCAGGACGAAGTGACATCTCCGACTCTTTGGTTGACCTTCAACGGCTACTAAAACGAGCCAAATGCACGGCGACAGGCCAGCAAGCCATGCGCCAGCAGAGCCAGCCTCAGAGAAGTCATAAAAGCTTGCGAATCTAATTTGGCACCGCCGGTCTTGGTGGCAATATGCATGATTCACATTGTCAAGGCGTCAATTGTGCAAAATGTGTTGAAAGAGGATTGAAATCTTGTACATACGTTTCTGAACCAGAGAAGAGCTGTGTACTTTGCTAATATTTCAGTACTTAACAATGCACCTGCAGCACAACAAGGCCTGATCCTCCAACTACAACCAGCATATGAAACCTGCCACGGCCCACAAGGTCCGAAGGACGTCAAGTGATTCAAGAGATCAACATTCATCCCTGCTTCGCAAAAGCAAGTGTCGAACCCACGAACCCTCCATGTGGCCATATTGCATGTGCCTGCCTCTGCAGGCCATCAGGTGCTGATTACTTTTGCATCTGCATGCGGGGTCTTAACCCATCTGACGTTATCCGATCCCAATAAGCTCCCCAGGTACACCGCCAACTCCCGTCTGAGCCAGTCGTCTCAGCCAGTAAGGCCACCACTGCATAGTACTCCCCACCGAAGTGAAAGTCAGGCCCGCAGCGGCTACATCCGCATATGGCCTGACGTCTTAGCATGCTCGAAAGATTCGGGAATATAATTGGAGCATTATACAAACCAAGGCTCGGCAATGTTGGCCAAGGATATGCAGATTCAGCAAGGCTGTGCTCCTCTTCATATCATGCTACCCACACCAAGTTTCCAGGACAGTGCCGCACCCTTTGAAACTTTGTGGCCTCCATCTGCCATTTGTTCTGTGTTTGCTTCCTAAGATGGTCGAGGTTGCTCAGTGCCGCATGCCACGTGCCCTAGCAAAACACATGATGATCTCTCGCAAAAGTCAGTCAAAGAGTCTGGCCAGTCGACCAAGCTGCCTTCCAAGAGAGAGCATGTCCAAGAGACAGAGTCAGGAAGCATGTTTCAGCCAGGACGCCATTATAGAAGTCATCACAGCTGCAAGGAGTACAAGTCGGCAAAGGCGGAAGGCAGATACTGGCCCTGACATGCAAGTATGTTCGGACGCCAACAAGGCTTCGAGCTCCAAAATTTCTTGCAAGAGCTTCAAGGACAGAACAACTCTTGTCTTGAGATTTCTTTTTCGCAGCTGCACCTCCTCTGCGCAGAAGGCTTCCAGATGCATCTTCAACGTCTTGCCTTGTCCGACGCACATGCAACCTACATTAAGAAATCAGGTCAAGAGAGACCAAAATCGCCAAGCTGCTGGATGGCCCAACCTTTCTCCAGAGCTTGGCTGACATTGCTCGCGATCCAAAAATCCTGCAGCGTTCCCAAATGCTTTACGATTCTTAATCGCATAAAGAAGAAAGAACAAACCGGTAGTTATTCCACAGCGTGCAGCAAGCAGGCGCTTTTTCCAACCATGTCTGATGCAGTGGCAAAATTCCCCTGTTTGATGTCGAGCTGCCCCCGTGGTGCGAGTTCTGTATATCCAAGGTGCGCCTCAGGTGTCCTTGGTGCGTCTCGTATAACAGAGACGCACGAAAGATTGAACATTCCCGTCGCTGGTGTTCGATTTCAAGTCGTAGCTCGGGACACCAGTCAAAATCTTGATCAAAAACAGCGACGGACTGTGTCCCTGCCGGGGATATCCTCAAAGCCGAAGGATGAGGCAAGTCTGATGTCCGCTATCATCTGAAGGCATCGACCGGTGATGGCTTCTTCGGGTATATCGATATAGGGCCATAATGGTCCTGATGGCAAGTCTTCAAACCTGCTGATGGGGTCTGAAAGATTGGCCTCGGTTGGCACACGCTCAATGCGATGAGCAATCCCTCGTCTGTTGTGCCAAGTCCAATGGGCACTAATCAAAACAATTTAGAAGTTGATGTTGGCCTACGCCCTTGATTAGTGCATGCTGGGCCACCTCGCTGTCGCAGCATTGAATGTAGAAGCTGCCCAGGATGGGTTCACAGACCAAGGGTGCTATGATGGCAACCCACAGTTCCAGGCGGTAGATGACGGCGGTGTTGGAGCTGAACTGTCTGAGGATCTGCAACGGCAGGCGTCCTTGGAAGTACCAGGCTCTGGAGCTGTCCCCTGGTGGGAATATGACTGCCCCCGCCCGTTCTCGATGGAGGTGTAGCCTGTGGGGTTCAATCTGGTGGTACTTCATCACCTGGTCGAAGGCGGTTGTTGTCAGCGACCTAATAGGCGTCGGTGTATATGATGGCAAAGTGCGTGGTCTTGACTTGTAGCAGGATGCGCATCGGTCGGCAGTGTTGGATGATGTTCAACAATGCACAAAGAAAGGGCCAACCTGGTGGGCTTGTCTAGTTGAGAAAGGTTGCTGTGTGCTCTGGCGTAGATGGCTTTTAGGGGGGGGGCGGCCGACTTTACCGAATAACCTGCCGGTCGCGAAGTTGCACTTGCCCGCCATCCTTCGAGCTAATTCGGGGTCCAAACAATCTTGTCGCAAGCAAGATCGAATTTCTTCGCTCATGCGTTTAACTCTCTGGGGGCAAGGGGTCAAGGTGACGTGGTCTGCATCCGTGCTGATGATGACGCCTTGTATCTTGTGTGAGGCAGCTGGGGGTTGGCATTTGCTGGCCTTAATGTTGTAGCCCATGGCACCATTGAAGTCCTCGAAGCAGGTGAACCCTGAGGAGGAGTTGGGGGTGATCTCGGTGCTGCCGTAATCGTCTACGTAATGCATGGTGGGCCTAAGCAAAATGACTCGAGATACTGCAACCATGGAGTCGCCGAAGTGGTTGTAGCCCCAAACGCTAGCAGAAGAGCCGAAAAGGAGGACGTTGTGGCTCCACAACATTGGTTGGTCTAGCGGTAGTTGGCGGTATGCTCCGTCGTGATCATGTCCCCAGATGCGCAAGTGATGTTGTGATCGGTGTTGGTGTGCGAGGATTGAATGATGCGAAGTGATCGGGTGTGTGGTGAAATGGTTGATGAAGCATAGCGCATGCGGAGTTGCGCCCGCTACGTCGCCAGTCTTCGCCGCGTCTGATCTTGTCCTTGCCATCTGACCCTACCTGCTGGATGCTGAATGCCATGGCAATGGCTTGTGAAGGGTGTGGTATGGGCAGGAGGTGTAGGTCGGGGTATCTAGTTGGTGAGATGGTGTTGACCCGCCAATGTCGAGGTTGTACAAATGGGCCGTTCATGCGACCCATCTTGACTTCCTGCACAATCTCATCCAGCATGAGTTCATAGTGATCGCCCACACGTGATTGCGTCAGCTTCTTGCCCACGTACTGGAGGTTGTGTTCGATAAGCTCCTCTGTCGTGCGAGGTTGTATATTTCTGATCGGCGCGACGGTACCAGTTAGTGCCTGGTTGTAGGGTTCCCATGAGCTGGGAGCCTCGTCACAACTCACAGTGTAGAATGTCAGCTTGTGGGAACTGTATGACGCGCAAGAGGTGTGTGAAAACGGGTACTTGTAATATCTGTTTGGCGGTGGTGTAGGCGCGCCGTACGTGTTCTGGGAGTGTGTGCAACCATGTGTTGGTTTCGTCCTCCATATCCAAGACGAGGTTTCGGATCTCGTCGACCGCTTGTCGTCGGAACTCGGGTAATGTGTGGAAGACGTGGGAGTGCCGTATGGTCAACCTCAATGCGGGGTCAAGTTCTTTGGGCACTAGTTGGGACAATGGACCGCCGGTGATGACAGGCATGATGGGAACGTTGGGGCCCAGGTTCTCAAGCAGTGTATCCAGGAGCTCCTCGGTGTTGAAGGTGGTAACGTCGCCCATGTGTTTGGGGGGCAAATGTTCATCGAGGAGCTTGACGCATTCGCTGTCCGTCTCCCAGCTGAGGGTGAGTGACGGTTCGACCCCGCGCGATCTCAATGCCAGGCTGTCGAAGCCAGGTCTTTGAATATTGGGGCGGTGAGTTTCTGTACGCAATGCGCCGAGCCTGACCCCGTCGCCTCCACGGTAAGGTCAGGCAGCGTCAATGTGTCGGTGTCTTTGTGGTCGGCTCCAGGGTGTTGCCCTGGGCCGTGCTGTCCCTAGCGCTGGTTCTTGCCTTTGCCCTTTCCCTTGTTGCCCTTGCCGTCTTTGCCTGCCTTGTTCTTGGGCTGACGACCGCAGCAATGGACCACCCCTCTTTGCCGACATTCCCACCGCAACCCCCACCAGTCTTCAACCCAATGGTCACGCCTATGCCGTCAAACTGCCACTGTTTGCCGCCTTTGCCTTTGTTGCCCCTGCCTTTGTTGCCCTTATACCGGCGCGGTAGCGGTACGGCTCGTCCTTGTCGTTCCGGGGCTTCTTCTTCGGTGACTGCATCAGGGCGTCGTTAACAGTGGTAAGGTCCTGCATGATCTTGTCGGTGGCGACGGCGAAAGTTTCTTACTGTCTCATACACACGGCGATGTCCCAGGAGAACGTCTCCCGCAGGGTCTTGACTTGCGGACGTCTCGTTGCATTTTTGCGTACCAATGTGGTGAACCAGTCGCAATACTTGGTGACCGCCTTCTCGGGTCCGAGCTTGATGAGGATCCTTGACTGCTTCGATGCCATCCTGTATCATGGGTGATCCGCGCACGTCCCAATCGTAGCTATTTGGTGACCAGCTGTTGCTTGTTGTCCACGATGAGGCGCTTGTCGAGGTCGTCCTTTTTGCGGTTGGAGTTGACCGGCAGTGAACACGCGTTGTGACATAATCTCGCCCAAGGCCACCGCGCTGCGTTTTGATGTATGGTGTTCATGGTACATTCGCGCCCGTACCTTGTCGGCCCCGAGGAGGGACTTTTCGGGGAAGCAGCGTTTCTCGCCGTCAACGGTGATGTTGTTCAGTTGCGCTAGTCCTCGACAGTTGGGCGTAGACGCCTGCGAACAAGGTCTTCGACATGGTGCCCTGTCTGTCGAGGATACGGGCACCGTGGTGGCGCTTGCGGGGGTAGATGTGGGTGTGGCCGTGTGGAGGTACGTGGCATGCACCATGGAGTAGAGGACCTTCCAGCGCCAGCAGCAGCAGCGCCAGCAGCAGCAGCAGCAGCAGCAGCAGCAGCAGCGCCAGCGCCAGCAGCGCCAGCGCCAGCCAGCAGAGAGCTGTGACGGCGCTGATGTCTTCGCCATTCGGGCTGTAATCTGTGCCTTTGAACGTGATGGTCCCTTCGAGTTTCTTGACGAGGTCTGTGACGGCATTGGAGTCCTGGAAGTAGTAGTGATGACGCAGTGGTAGGCGACGTCGGTCCAATGGGATACTTGTGGCGCATATGTAGGTGCTGCCCTGCCCCTGATGCGGTTGCGGCGAGGTCCTCAACAATGAAGGCGTCCTTGAGGGTTGCTGGCCCGAGTCCGCGTTCGACGCTAACTTGATCTGTTGTTCGATGTCTGCGGAGACGTGTTGGTCGGTGAGAGCTTTTTGTTGCTGTCGGGCCACGCTGAAGACCTACCACCAAGCGATATCATCCATGTTTGAGGCTCGTCCCCACTGCTGGTGTTGTTCGCGTACTGGTCCCCGGTGAGATTCTGGGTGGCTTCGGCACGTACGTCTGGATGTGCTGCTGAGAGGCTGAGAGGGCGCCAATGATGGATCCGCAACCACGGGTAGATCTCGGCGTCCTCGATGTGGCCCCGCTGTTGTTCGCCTTGGCATAGGTCGTCCGAAGAGATTGCAGAAGGCTTCCAGTTGCTGGGGTGTGGTTGCCACCGCGACCAGGACGTCCGCGAAAGCGCCCATGATGTTTGTAAGCCAGGGATGATTATAGTTGCGCGGTCGGCGACGGGGCATCACCGACAACAACAGCGATGAGGAGGCCGTGAGGAATGTCCGATGGGACCAACGTCCAAGCCGGTTGCTATTTTGACACCTTTTTTCCGCCGAGGCGATGGGGTGATAGCGTCAGCATCACCTGGCTAAGGACATGTCACCGCACGGGCCAGGTACCACACATGCAAAATGACTGCGAGCATGTTACCTTGCTGCGGTTAATACCTTGTTCCATCCTCCTTACATGTCACCATAGATTTTCAAGCACCTGCGCTGACAGTAGTGATTTTGCAGCCCCCTGTTCGACCATGGTCACTGCCGACGCCGACTGCGAAGGGATTACATGGCCCTAACAGCCAGAAACATGTTGACTGCCATAACAGCATGACATCCTACGCGATAACTGCACACATGTGACCCTTCTAGACCCTAGGGTGGACTCTTTTAACTTGATGTGTGACCGGTAATGTCCGAGCGCAAAAGGTGAAAAGCATTACACAGTTGGGCCTTCGCCTCGGCGAGAACACAAAAAAATGACGTACAGCCGCTGTCCGCTTTACAAGCATGAGCCACTTGGCTCATGATG